GCGATGATGGGCTCAAGTATAGCAGGGATTGTGGGGCTGGCGCGGGATCGGGCAGTGTTTCGTTCTGCTGTGCATGGGGTCGCTATGAGTTGGAAACGACTCGACGGCACTTAACAACAACAACAACATCCCATGGTATACAGGTACTACAATTTGTTCAACCATTCACCTGCTAAAGTACACATATTAATGTATTGATATAATGGAAATCTAAAGAGTAATGCCAATAAAGGCTAAAACCAGGCAAAGTGTTTTTTAGCCTATTCTTAGTTATAGCACCGAATGAGTGCTTACCTGATTCTAACTGGAATATATTGCTACATGTTTCCTAGCATTTAGACAGTGGTCTATAGAACAGAATTCAAAATCATAAAAAAGACCAGAGATTGGTGGAAGCTGTAAGAGACTGTCGGCCTTAGACACCCTTCAAACCTGTGATTGAACCCACCCCTTGGGATCATCTTGAGGCCAAAAAACAGGCCTATAAATTAACAATAACATCATGATGAAAGTACTCCTTAGAATAATCAATCATGCAAGAGCAAAAGGGCAGCATTTGCACAGAAATAAACTCGGAAGGCAAGAAGGGGTAGGGCAGAAGGACAAATGGAAACAGGGCATCCGGGAAGGAAGCAGGAAGAGTGTTGTTGCTTTGAGGGGATTCCAACTAATGTTAAGAAACAAAATGTATATAAAATTATTGAATGTAAGGTGAATTTGTCCTGTAAACTTTCACCCAAACCACAATAAAATTTTTAAAGGAATTATAAAAAGGAATGAAAACAATGCATTTAACAATTGATAAAATAATGTTTTATAGTGTTGGCATTACACTGTTTCTGCTAAATGATCTTTCTGTAGAAGATTATTTGTTGTATTGATAACAAACATTTTGATTTCTTTAATATTAGAAACTCCTTAAGCTAATTTCTTGCTTGATAAATGAGGGATTGTCGTTTGTTATTTCAGGAAAGGAGTGTACCCAGGATGAAAGCACCGCAGCTGCCATCTTCACTGTTCAAATGGACGACTATTTGGGTGGCAAGCCAGTGCAAAGCAGAGAAGTACAAGGCTATGAGTCTATGGATTTTGTTGGCTATTTCAAAGGAGGTTTGAAATACAAGGTAAACAGCTCTCTCAAACAGGATCCCCTTTTTCCTCCTTTCTGTTCATACTTTATGCCTTCATAGACTAAAAGTATATTGAAGGTGGGGATTTTTGGTTTGCTTTCATTTTGTTTTATTCAGTAATATACCCCCAAGTACCTGTAATAGTACCTGTCTGACACGGGTTCTGACTTGATTCCATTTATTAGGTTAATTGTTAATAGTTAAAATTTAGAGCTTTTAGTTGTGTCTTCAAAAGAAAGCCCCTTTAATATGTCATAAGTGTATTTTAACAGTTAAATATCATTAGCAAGAGCAATTTTCTTTTGTAACTGTTTTAGAGAATCTCTGAATTTGGTGCAAATAATCCAATACTGTGTGATAGGTGCCATCTAGTCAGCTCCGACTCATAGCGACCCTATGTACAACAGAGTGAAACACTGCCTGGTCCTATGCCAGCCTCACAATTGCTTTATCTGAGCCCATTGTGGCAGCCACTGTGTCATTCCATCTCGTTGAGGGTCTTCCCCTTTGTCGCTGACCCTCCACTTTACAAGCTTGATGTCCTTCTCTAGGGAGTGGTCCCTTCTAACAATAAGATCAGATTAGGTGAATGAAGTCTAGCCATTGTCACTTTCAAGGAGAATTTTGATTCTAATACTTAGGAATTTCTGGTGTACACTATCTTAATATAATATTTATAATAATTATAACTTTAGCTAGTGCTAAGAACTTTACAAATATTTCCCAAATAATTTGGCTTGGTCTTAGAAATTATACGAATAAAACCATTGAGATGAATATTAGATATGGTGCAGCTACACAAACACAAATGTAAATTCAAAAATGCACACATGCACCCACACATGCACAATTATATATAATGGTCCAACACACCAGTCATCAGTCAGTTTTACTTTTGAAAACAAACAAATAAACAAGTAAAAACAGATAGTTGTACCCCTTTAAGGCAACCTTAAGTAAAGGTTTTTTTTTTTTTTTTTTTTTATTCTCTCAGTATCCTTGCAGACTAATAATCCTTCACTCTCCCCTGCCCCATCATAGGTTTTCTGTTAAATTGTGAGGAACACCCACTCCAGACA